GACGATTGCAAGTTCGTAACAAAATCTCACATCTAAAAATTCCGAAATTAAAATAAAAACGTTCAAAGCACGAACAAACGGAAAACTGAAAAGCAGACAGATAAATCTTCACCCCCCTTTTTTTTTTTTCAATCTATTTTCAGCACTGCCTCAAGTATTTTTTTACCCATCAAAGCAATAATATTTAGAATACACAGAAAGTTCTTAAAACTTCATACACGCAAGATTGACACATTACGCATTTTGCCTTCATATTTTCATAATGAGATTTAATATATAACTGACTGTCTTCGTTTACAAATATATCTAAAAGCTTTAATTAAGATCTCTTATAATGAAAATGAAACTGAAAGACATATTATAAAATGCGTTCTTAAGATCACCGAGCGTTGATGTTCTCTAAGTTCTGTTTCCTTTTTAAATAATCGTTAATCATCATAAACGATACATATAACACACATGTATTATATGAAAAGAGAGAACACATTAGTTCCTTTGATCGCCTTCGCTAACCAGAATTTTAATAATAATCGTGATATTTGACTCAATTTTCGCTTCTATTTCAAATTTGAAGTATTTTCCAAGGATAACAAAATTGTTAAAAATTAGCCTACTACATAACAAATTTAAGATTTAAAATTTGGTTGGGGGGGAATATTTTATATTGTTGGTTTTGACTTTCTCTCATTTTGGCTTAAGCGTTCTATTTCAGTGCTTCATAAAAATAAAATACAAAAATATTCGTCTTCTTTTGATTAAAACTACGTGTCTTTCTCGCAGCTTCAAATAACGTATACTTAAAAGTGAAAATAACCGCGAGCGGTTATCATACTATTCACTTTCATATGTTTTATTTACAGAATAGTTTACATTTCAGCTCAGTGAAAGCGTATTTTTATACATTTTTCTATGAATTACAACATTTACATATGCGTGCACTTAATAAGAAACTTAAGCTTATTAGTGTCCGATTGGTTAAGATCACTGAATACCGGTAATTCGTTTCAGAATCGAACCTGCGAAACAGGCTGGCTGCATTAAATTTGTTGTTGTTTTTCCCATAGGTCAAGTGCATTTGGTGTTTTCAAATAAGCAACCAATACAAAAATTTAAACAGCCAGCCTGCTGCCTCTCTAATCGAAAGCAAAACAAAATCCTCCACAGCTTCCGAATCCTTTTGCTTGCCTGCGACCAAATACATGACCCCCGCCAACCTCCCCCGAAAAAAAATCAAGAGCATTTTAATATGCTAACGATGCATTCAACATCCATGCGAATATAGACTGTTTGTAATTTCTTGCCAACCACAAAGCAGAAATACAATTCCGTCTGCACTATTAGAAAATCAGATTGAGTTAGATTAGATTATTTGGATTACAGAAAATTGCCTAAGGAGAAGAATGTCTTCGCCGAAGATCATCGGGAAAAACAAGCTCAAAGTAACGACTATTGCCACAAATTTCCCCTTTATTAAAACCATAAGTAATTAATCGTTTTAACTCTTTGAAGGGCGGTACACCTTTTCTATTGAATGTCTTATTCACTCGTGTGAGTGGTTTTCAAGATTGACCGTTTCTGAAGTTCCCTCGTAGCTCACTAGATGGCAATCAAGAAACATAAGCCAGTTGATGCAGCAATTCGTCTTTAAGAAAATAAGCATCAGCCATTGAAGACAAGATCACGACGACATGCACTATGCAGCACCAAGAAAAAGCCTGTAAGAATAGTGTGGGAATGCAACGCATGCAAAGTTGCACTCTTCTTGAAAAAGAAAAACTGTTTCCATGAGTACTACAGAGACTGATTTGTAGGGATGTTCTGTGGGCGGTGGTCACTGACACTAATCACCCGAAGGGGTCATTTTTTTACGAGTCTTGGACAAAATATGTGCAATTGTCGCAAATAATTTCATCGTAACACCTGATATAGTAAATAAAACAAAAGTTTTGCTGAAAAAGTTAATTGCCTTTTCCTGCTCCAAAGAGTTAATAAAAGATCGCTTCCTCAGCCACTGATCTGCATACATTTCCTCCGAGTCGCCAATTTATAAGTCATAAAGCAGGCGTGCAATTATTCACATGTCATTTTGCTAGTGGATTTTTCTGATCTATACATAACATAAACGTAAAAACCGATATATATAAGTAACGTAAACACACACCGTAAGGTATTTACAGTCATAAGCAAACAAATTTGTCAAAAATTCGGAGTGGAAAATTTAGGTAACTGTAAAAATTTCTATTGCAGAGCCTCATTTTCCGAGATGAGATATCCAGTATGATAAAATAAATAATCATTAAAAAAAAACGAAGGATAGCAAGTATTGCCCTCCAGCATAACTGATTTTTTTAACAGCAAGAACTACAGAAGCAATTAAATTCCACACTTCCAGATGATAAGCAAGAATAACAGAAGCTCAGATACGTTGTTTCCTTTATACTGACTTGCGTAATAGCAAGAACTGCGAAGCAAGCAAATTTCTTTGTTATCAAGCACTACAATTCGAACATTCTTTGATTCGTTATAAATAGTTTTTATAGAATACAGAACAAGAGAATATCTGATGCAAAAAATGCACAGAACTTTAAAATTAGGCCCAAAACATCTTCAGACTAACATCGATTTTCTTAAAAAATTGTTTTTTAAATTTGAAATGTTAACGTAAAACTTTCATCAGTTACAACACATCGCGGTCTCTGCTTAGTGTTTGTTTTACCAAAGATTCCTTGAGAAGAAGCATTAGTTGACATATCCTGAAAATGTGCCACTTCCGGAGTAAATGGTTAATTTGTCTAAAATGGAACCTAAAGCTTTCGGCTGCTACTTGTTAAAGAACGAGAAAGCAAAATCAGCGCCCACGTAACACTCTCATATCTTTGTCCTATTTTGCATAAAAATCTGCTCCATCCTGCTAGAATGTTCTGTACTCGAAATTAATGGTGTTGTTTACGATTCGAAGTGGTTACATCATAAAAGGATCGCTGCCACAAGGGAATGAGAAAATGCCCGAAAAACGAATTCTTGGCAAACTGCCTCATGGAGTTTGTAACTTGGCTGAAATTCTGGTGTGAAGGATCTCTTTGATGACAACTAAGGCAGGTTTAGGGAAGAGGAGGGGCGAAAAACCTTGAGAAAATAGAATGGATCTCGTGCGACTTTCATGGCATACAAATCTACCCCTGCAGTGAGATATGAGACAGAGAAAAAAAGCAAGTTTAAACTCACTTTAAAACAAGATGAAGAGTGAAGATAAAAGCCAAAATTTAGTTAAACATGGCTACAATACACAGTAAAAGTATTTACAAATTTTTTTTCAAATGCATTCCAGAGCATAGAATTTTTAGTTGTAAAATCCCTTACTCTCCATTTTTGCTATACATTATATACAATACAAATAATATTTAAATAGATACTTTGTGGTAGGAAACAAATGCATCTTCAAGAAACTTTCACAATACGGGGGGGGGAGAGAAAATTCTTTCACACTACAAGCATTAGGATTGGAAAACTATCATAAATTTGTTTTACCAATTAAGACAACGCACACAAGGGTTACCCTATCATGCACTCGGCCAATCGAAGTCTAATTCATTACGAAAGTAAATTAAACAATAAACAATTCATTAGACTAAAGGTTATGTGATTTAAAAGGGGTAATATTTCTAAAACGAAACTATTGCGTATACCGTTACAAAGCAAAAAAAAAAAAAAAAAAAAAAATGTGAAAAATGCTTTTACAGCCAAGCCAGTCCATTTTGCTTTCAGAATCCGACGGCGGAACAAAAGTATAACTATAAATTGATTTTCCAGCCAGTAGTGGACTTAAATCGTAAACATTTAAAGTTAATCATTCAAAAATCTGCTTATTTAGGGACAGGAATCCTAATCGTTCCAATTTTCTTTATATTTAAGAATTTCATCACAGGCAATTATTTCTTAGTTCACTGGTACTCAGTCGTACTTTTAAGTTCCTATGTTATGCATTTCCAAGGAGGTTAGAATAGCACAAGGAGGTTAGAATCTATTCTAACCTCCTTGTGCATTTCACTTTTTCACTTCAGTTACAAATACAGTGAACATTCTTCAGGCAATTACCGCCCCATGGCTGCCAACCTTGAAATATGAAAAGCCAGAAGGTTCTTGAGAGACACCAGGTTTCCGGGGCAGTTTCATGCTGCGCGGAGACACTACTTATTTCAAAAGAATTCCAAACTGACTTAAATTCACATTATAATGCATGAGTCAGGTGTGAACTATTCGTAATATAATTCTAATGTAAAATATATTAAATTTAATTAAATATTCTAAATTTTATGTGCTTAGGCTAATTTTAGAATGCAATTTCCTTACATTTTTTGAGAGAAATTCCTTACATTTTCCTTCAGTAAGAAAGGAAATGTTTTTATTTACCAAAGTATTTTTAAGTACCATACTTTTGGGATTAAATTAGTAATGTATTATTGATTAAAAAAATTAAACATAAACATAAACTGATAAACCATAAATTCCGTTTTCATAAAAAGTTCTTTAAATATATGAAGTAGATTAAGATAATTGAAGTCAAATTAGTTTATTAAAAAAAACTGTGCTGCAAATCACTATGCGTGGAAAGAACGGAATTTGCAAAATTTAAATTTCAATAATTCAATGAATTTAATTTATTGCTGGGAAACATTTTCTTTAGTAAAGTACACACAAGATAGGGTATTTGGGGTATAATGCAAAATTTCTTGCCAATATTGTTTAATTTATATTGGTCAACTAAAGAGCGTTAAAATTTCGAGCTAAGGAACGTGAGACATATGTTAGGGAAAAAGAAACACAGGCACAGGTAAAAGAATGAGGGACACCAGTGACATCCCATGGGTCAACTTGTAATAAATTTCCATACCAATTAACCATTAAAAAAATGCAAGCTTTACAAGAGTTTACAGAGAAAGGTTGAGAAGATAAACAACTAAACCTTTCCAAAGGATCTACGGTTTATTTATTACGGTACATCGTGCAATCCCATCGTACACACCGCATCCAATATTCATAACAATGATTTAGAACATAAAAAGATTATAATATAGTTTCAATACAATTTGAAGTTCACAAATGATATTGAGAACATTTGTTTGATGTGACAAAAATAAACATAATGAGATTAAATATGAGATTAAATACAATAAATACTGGAAGCACAATGTTATAATGAAGGTGTATTCATAATACTAAGGAGGTGTCTACGGGGTCAAATTATTTGAGAATAACATCAAAAAACAGTAAGAATCCGAGAACTGAGGGATTTGAGAATACAAAAATAGAAAGAACAGAAAAATAGAAAAAAGAAAATAAAAAATGCAAAAATAAATAAAAAAAAGAAACACATAAATCTGCTGTTACCCAAAACTGTTGTTAAAAAAAAACCTACATCTTATATTCTTCTGCAGCCAAAATTATTCAAAAAACAACTTTCGTTTGCGAGACGTTTCACATACATAAACATCGCAATTCTAGTAGACGATCCAAATTCTAGTCCTTGGCTTTTAAGGAAATTTTTTCATATTTGATTTCATTTTTTATCAACAGATGGCGCCAGCAGCTTGACTTCCTTTTTGTCATTGTTATTGCTTGAGAATAAGCTTCTCTTTCGTCATTTGCACGTCTGCACCTGAAGAATAAAGATCTATATTTAAACATTCGAAACTAGAAATTTAAGAATATTACGCTGATTCTTGTAGTGTCTCCAATTATAATCCCCCAGGCTCATGTTTTCAATGCTAAACATCTGTAGTTTGCTTCGAGATAAAAATGTAATGCAATGAAAACAGAGAAATGAGGTTGTATTTTTTTAAATAATAAGAACGTATCTAATTATCAAAAAGTAAAAAAGTGGCAATCTTCTATTTCGCTGTACTGTAAGAAAACTGCTTTAATGTTGAAAATCAATATAGAACTTAGGAGATGGGGGGAGAGAAAAAAAAATATACACGTCAGTTTAGAATTGAATTTTCTTAAACAGAACAAGGATTTTACTTTAGAGAAACAAGTCATTATTTGAGTTAAATTTTGTGAAAAAATAATAATAATTAAAATAGACATCTGTTTAAATAATTTTGCATTGAATTGGGCTTCACCTGCAGAAATTTAGATCAATTATAGTTCAAATTTACACTAGCCGGTACAGTTTTTAACCGATTTTAACCTAAAATAGAAACATAATAAACAATTTCAACTATTTTATTCTTTTCGCTAGATAGTTTTAAAAAAAATAAAAGAAGAAGTGAAAGAAAAATATAAGAGATGACATCAGGGTGTGACTCCAGTGAAATTTATCAAAAAAAAAAAAAAAAAAAAAAAAAAACTACGCTGGCAAGGACACTGTTTACGGGTCATGCTGACATGCTGAATTTAAACTAAACGCGAAAGGGCGAGTAGAACCTACTGTCCTTTCAAATGATAGGTCACAGTGCCACTGAACCAACAACCCTGACGAATTAATCAAAAAACCAGCATCCTTCAAAATAAGTGAGGTTCGACATTCTCTAAACAGTTGCTTCATCATTCTCTCGGGTTTTTCTCGCCACACAATTTTTTTCAACTTTTCCTTTTCATAAAGCTGTATGTGGGTGGGTACCATTGCAGCATGGCCTGCGCAGAATGAACTATTTCTTCCTCTTTTATGTTGGCAGACTTGAAATCCTGCCAAAAAGCTATGAAGAAGAGTGATGTATCTTTTTCAGATCCCTGCGAAGCAGTGGCAGTCAACCTTCTGAAGACCGTTGTACACAAGTGTAAAAAATCCCATTAATTTGCTACTACATAAGGACTCGCGTTACAGTTTCCGCCGACACTAACATACGATACCATCCAGCAACATAATCAAACTTTGTATAAACAAGAGTCTAGACTGATATAAGTCAGACATAATATGCAAAAGAAATCTATCATCAGCAATATATCGCTTTAGAGTACTAAAAATTCTTATCTGTTAAGTTTTTATTAATTTTCAGTGCTTATTCTAATTTTTATAAAAGGGCAAAAAATATATAAATTATAAACTAGGAAACGAACTGAAAAAATTAACTTAAGCGATAATGCAATTTAAGAGTTTTCTTATGTCTAAGCTGGTGACATAACGATTTCAATACGAGCGGGGTATGCATAACTGAAAGGCTACTCTCTCACATGCTCACACACACAAAAAAAGGCTGGATAACACAATGTATGACTCGCATGTTTCTTCCAGATTTAAAACCTTGTGACTCGACAATAATTACTCTGTGCCCTTTAAAATGTGCGATAAAATAAAATATGCGGGCATTATGACACAGCAAATTATGTAGCCTATTATTTCAGTATCGCAGGTGACGTTCTGAAAAGCATCATTCTGAATTTAAGGTGAGCATACGTTTTTTCTACAAGTTTCATTCTGAAAAATAACACTTTCAAATAAGGACATGAGCTTACTTTTTATCAATTTTAACATTACCTAAACAAACTTCCTTTAACAAAACTAGAGTTTTTCCGTCGTGTCAGCATTTATAAACTCAATTCAAAATAAACTGAGGTATCTGGAATAGTTTGGTTCTTTGAAAGATTAGAGAGGCCTTTTCATCCGAGGTAATTGTTCTCTCTAATCTAAAAAAGATATTCACTTAAACATCATTTAATTTTATATTAGAAAATAATATTTTGCTAAATGTTAAAATTTTATTTAATATAAAACAACGCAGTTTTTTTCCATCTGATGAATAATATAACTAGTCAATAGCGAAAATGTTTTTCGTCTAATTAAAAAAATTATTTTAATTAAATAAATTTTAAAAAAGTAAAAATGTCTAGTTAAATAAAATTAACAAATAAATCTATTTTTTAATACCCTAAAATTTCTGTTATCCTAATTATTATGTCTGTTATTCTTGCTTCTTCCTAATTTAAAATTCAAACAAGGATGCTCAATTTATTACAGATGGATCTAATTCCGTTGAAAATGTAGATAATATTACCACGGATGAATTAAAGGCCTTAACCTCCACTTTCCGAAACAAGTTTTAATAAATATAAGCAAGACTTTTTAATTACTTATTAAGTACTGAAAACTGGATCAAATCACTAATGCTTCACCAACAGCTAATTGAAACTGTCAAACAATTATTCTCCCTTGATGCAAAATTTTGTATTAAATATGATCGAAATTACTTGACATATCACTCAATAATTCGAGGTTTTTCCTAATTTTAAATAAAAAAAAAAAAAAATTATTATCAATTAGTTATTTTAGGCCGAAAATCTCGAATCTGCCTCAGAGTTACCCAGCCAAAATAGCGAAGAAAAATACTGAATTTGTCAATCTGAAATCTAAACATTTTAACTTTTTAGCAAACCATTTTTGTTTTACCATTTCATTTTCTAAAGCTAAAAGCACATTTTAAAACGTAAGCAAATGAATGACCTCAGTGTATGCAGGCAAAAATAAGGACAAATGAAATAAAGCATCTCTTTCCTGTAAGGGACATTCTATACGTGCTAGTTTCACCTAGAAAATCTTTTCCGAAGGTATACCCCCTTTAACACAGATAATCCGCAAATGCTTCTTCATAACTCATTGAACAAACAGATGACTTTCTGGTAGCTTTTTCATCAAAAGCAGCAAATAAGCATTGTAAAGGCTGCAGAGATTATAATGTTTTGAGGGCAGAAAGTCAAGCAAGTCTTCACTGGGATTTAAACGGCGGATCTTTCAACTGCTAGTTCAATGTGTTAACAACTTGATATAACCATAGCACACACAATGCGGAATGCAATAATTCCTTACAAGAGAAAGACACTAATATAATTTATTATTTTAAATATCAGAGTTATGTAAATATATCGTACTTATAAAGTTTGCTTAACAAGGTTATATACTTTTGTTTCTACATATAACTGCCAGAAGCAGTTTCCATAAAAAATCCCCCCCCAATTTATATATATATATATTTTTATTTATTTATTTTTTGTCATTCCACCCAGGCTCTACAGTAAAAGATTTTTAATGCGTGCAACATCATTTTGTAATTCGTCATAAACCTGTTGTTTTCACTCATGGAAATAAAGATAGTGAGTAAGGGGGTCTTCCAAAGAACTTTTTACTTAGAGCTGTGGTTTCACTGCCAACATTTCAGATAAATGAGGTTTTCCTGTATAATTACATTCACATTCTGTACCAATGTAGTAAAATCTTTCCTATTCGGTTGTCATCGAAAAAATAATATTCACATTTCACAAAAGAAAAACTCAGAAATTTAATCGATGACTCAACTGAAATGTATTTATCAAATTAAATGCTGTTATTAGATTCTCGAATCTAATAATCCATATATAGTTCCTCTGATCCAAATCTTAAAGGTTCTCCATTCTTTCGAATCCCTCATATAAGAAGGGAGGGGACACTTTTACTTAATGTTAAAAGTTTTTAATAAATGCAATATTTGAAAACTGAGTATAATGAAAAATTTATTAATACAGTTTTTAAACAACACATTTATGTAAAATCGCATATGAAATTTAAAGTATGGAATATATGATTAAAACTTCTGAGTCTTAAGTTCAATTTTCTCGATATAATTTAAAAAAAAAAAAAAAAAAGATACAGCAATAGTTCAAACTTCCTTCGTTCTCCCAGGATCTTCTAAAATCAAACAGAATACAAAAAGGGAAAGATTATTTCCAAAATTAGCGTAAACACCAAATGCTTAATTCTGCCCAGAAAAATTTACAAGTGTGGATCTCAGGGATGCCATGAGATGACTCAGGTCCACTTAAGTTTACACAGAAATTGCCCTGTTTTTTAAAGCCTTTATCACACGTCAATAGCATTAACCCTTGCTATTGTGTTAAAAAGGGTTGTTTATGTTAGAAATCGAAAGATTAAAAAAGCACGAAGTTTCGATTTTGGGGATCTCGAATTTTTGGAAGATCAGGTAATAAAAATATTCCCAGATTTTTTAAAAAGTACGTGTGAACTTCGCTTAACAGTAAATTAAATAAATTCATAAAATCTTCACAAGCGTTATGGGAAAGAGTAATATGATAATAGTCCTTTTCCCGTGGCGTGATGCTGTGAAATTACAAGCATAAAAATTTTTAATCGTAAGGGAATACTTTTCAGAATTCTTGAGCCTGCACTAATAGTGGGAAGAGTTACTTAATCCCCTTTTTGCCTATACTGACTTACTTTGAAAGGGAGAAAAGAGTAGAAGGGAAACTTACGTCCGGGTGTGGAAATTACGAAGGGGAAGCAGAAAAATTTCTAAAGAAAAAATCCGACTAGACCAGCCCAGCTTCCCTTCCCCTCATACTCAGGTGGGGAATGAAGTTCAACGACCTTCCAAACTTTAAGAAAAACCTTTTTCATCCCAAAGTTCTCCTTAACCCTGTACTCCACCAATAAGTCTAGAAAGAGTGGCCAAGGGGCAGTGACCTAAAGGGGAGAGATTAAAAAGAAGGGATTTTTACCCCTCCTTCTTTGAGGGACACAATAGAGCTCTTGGGTCGAAAGGGGGGTGGGTTCTCTTTGCAGGTCAAGGGTGAATACAGGTAAAAGGGAGTGGAACATGCAGACGGCGTCTTCCGCCCGAGGGGGTTGTTTCGTCTTTGTCTGACCTTGAGAAGCTGCACCATCACAAG